CGTTTTCAATGTGTTCAGCACATTAGTTCAATATTAGAAAGCTTGGTTTAAAAAGATGGTTTTTAACATTAACTTATATAAATAAAGTTATTTTGCAATATATTATTTTTTCAATTAAATTTTTTTTTTTTTTCTTAAGCCCAACTTTAAATTCCATTTACCTCAGTTATTTTTCCAGTGCAGGGCTAACGTTGAACTACCTTCCTATGCAACCCTACATTCCAACTTGTAGTGATCGCGCAAAGGTAACAAATTTTTGTTGATTGTCAATTTGTGCAATTATTTTTATACAGATTTATCGCGAATCTTTTGTTTAAATTTCAAAGCTTCTTAAATCCTTTGGAAAATAAGAGAAAGTGTTTAAAAGTTCCCAAAACAGGCGAAATCATTGCATAAAAATTCCAATGCGTAGAAGCAACAGGTCTGCCTGCATACCAGAGTGACGACAACGTAGGCAAGGTTGCGCATCAGTAGGGCAACAAAAGCAGGGAGTTAACAGCAGCACAACAACAACAACACATTATTAACCACAATAACAACAGCAAAACACACCTTACAATCTTACAACGTTTACATTGGCCAAATTATTCGAGACTGGCGACTGCGCTACTCGACGACGACGACGGTGGTAACCGCGGGAACGACGGCAACGTCTAAACCTATGCTAGTGGCGCTGTGCCGTTTGTTGGCTATACATAACTTTGGAATAGCATTAGCATTAACGAATGTTGGGAGTGCAACTGGGAGTTGTGGTTTGTTAAAATCCCGTTGTGCATAAATTCAGTGAGAACTTGGCATGCGCTTGGAGTGTAGAGAGCTGGCATGTGTAGTGAAGTAAGTCGCCCAGCGATAAATGATGTGAGAAAATTTGCGAAAACGAAAAAACAAAAAAATACATACAACGCAACTTATAAGTGCTATCTGCTTGGCTTGCAGCGGTAAGAGCTGCCGTCACTTGCAATGCTAACGCTCCTCGGTGAGTGTCATCTGTGGAGCATACGCGATGAGGTGCGCATCAAATCCACCGATCTGGGCGCTTTCCGTTACACACGCAATCGGGAGGCACAGCAGCAGAATACTGAGTTGACGGCGCTGGCCAAGCGTGACTACATCGAGAGGCGCAACGGTGTAACGGTGTTGAAGAATAGTCGCAAGGCGCCAGGACGCTTAAAGGATAATATCAAGCGTTTGGAGGAATTGCTGCGCAGCTATAAAATCGTGCATTCAGAATGGCGAGACGCAGCGCAGGTGCTACTCCTCTTTGCCAATGGTATTATAGCGCATATTTGCGTGGACGCGGCCACAGGTGATATACTGCGTATGGTTTATGAAAAGTACTTCGTCGGCAAGTTGGCGTCGGAAGTTATCACTGACGGTAAGTGAACAAATGTAGAAATGTCACAACGTGCAGGTTAGTTGTCGTAGATAGTATATACATAGTTGTTTGGGTGAGTGTGCGCAATCACCAGCAATGGTTGTGTTTTGGTGCGCGCACAGTGTTAGAGAGAAATTTGCATTTGTGCATACTCATGCGCATGCGCGCATTCACACAGTTTCACATGCAATTAATGTTAATTAATTTCGCTACAACTTTGCTGTGTTTTGTTTATTTTTTCTTGCCATCCACATATGTATGCACCTATGCATGTATCTTTTTTGCTTTGCAGTTAGTAATTTGTTTTATTGTTTTCTATTTGCTGTTTGTTGTAGCATTTTTCACACGTTCCCACATCGTCTTGGCCTACAACACGAACCAATTGACGGTGGTGCATTTGCAGAAACCGAATGCACGGCCACAAGGGCCTGAGAAAATTAGCAATATGGATCCGCGAATATTTCATGTGATAATACCGGGACCATCAGAGCGTAAATTGTCACGGCATCTAACAGTGAATAGTAGTGCAGATTTATTTGTTATATGGACGAAATCATCACAGAATGAAGTATACCCATGGCGGCCAACGATACGTGATCAGGATCGAGCGAATATACATGTCTTCAAGTTGAAGGGGTGAGTAGGCAGATGGCGGGTTCGTTTATCGTTTTTTGTCTCTTACAAAATGTTACTATTTCCGCTAAACGTTTCATGGAAACTAAAGTATCTGCAAAAACATTTATAATTTCACTTTGATTAAGCTATATATAATTTTTATTTTATTTACTTTTATGCTTTTTCCCTTTCCAGCATACAAATAGAATCCGTTTCGTATTGTTGGTCAGAGAATGATCCCCTCTCAGTGGATTTTCTACGTTCAGCCGAAAGTCAAATACTCACCGTAGAACAAAAAGTGTCACGAAAGGGTGAAATATCTGCCGAAGTATGTACATACGAAATTATCTCGGGTAAAATGCAACGCGCCACGGTCACGTCAATTACAATGGGAACGCAAATATGCTGCCATGCCTTCAGTCCCGACCAAGAGAAGCTATTTTTGGGATCGATTGATCGTAAACTTTGTCTACATGATCTGGTGCAGCAAGTGACGAAAGTGGCCTCTCAAATTGATATTGTATGTTTACTATTTTCCACGAAGAAATACATACATATAAGTTTTAAATAAACAATTTTAAAATCATTTATCTTTTAGATACCCACGCAATGTGCCTGGCATCCCGATAGCAGTATTGTTATGGTTGCCAATGAGCGTGCACAATTTCAATGTTTTGACCTCGCCCTAACACCGGTGGGCAATCAGTTGCAGAGCGAAGATGTGACACCTTTAAATTTATTGGATCTTTCACACTATTTCACCATACAACCAACACTGCTGCGCATTGCTTTCAGTCACAAGCCTGATTTGTCACAACATTCGTTGCCTTATGTGCAAACAGATTGCTTACTGCTGTTGCATTTCGAAAATGGCCCATTGGGTTGTATGCGACTTTTTGCAGGCGCCGGCATGCGTGGCGACATACACAATTCAGGCCTGACCGCTGATGTTTTAATTGACAAATATTTGTCGCTAAATCAACTGGAGAAAGCGGTGAATTTGCTGATGGCACTCAACTGGGAAACTTATGGTGCGATGTGTTTGATATCGCTGCACAAAATTGCTAATCATGTTTTGTATCGCGGCGAGGCGAAGCGTACGCGCGTGGAATTGCTGGGAAAAGCGCTGAAGACATTCACCGATGCACTTTCAGAAGAGACAAAGGATGAGTTTAGCGATCAAGTTTTTGATTTGAAAAGACGGTTTTTCTTTTATCTGCTGCGGTATGTTAAAAACTTAATGAAATTTTTGTAACTTTTGTAGTTAATACACTTTTTTGTAGGAAACAAATGTTTGCAGAAGCGTTCGAAGTCGCCGAGGATATTGAAGATTATGATCTCTTTATGGATCTCTTTAATGTGACGAAATCGAATGCGAATTTAATCGAATTTTCAGCCGCCGCCTTTAGTCAAGCTGCTACGATACTCCATGAAGAGGAAGGCCATGGCAACGGCGTGCGTGGCATGCCAGCTAGTAATCTAAGTTTGATTGTTGATTATCGCTCAGAATCTGCCTGTTCCCAATCAACTTATTCCGACTTACAAATAGTGCAAAGAAAGAAAGTTCAACGTAGCAACTACGCAAAAGAACATTTAAAGAACTATGTGCCACCCTTGCCATCATTTAAATCAAAAATATTCAGTGCCGAAATGATAAAAATAAATATTCCAAAGCCAGAGCTGCGCATGGAGAATACGCAGGATATATTGCGCACCCGGCCGCCACCGCCACCGCCCCCACTGCCATCGCTGCGGAGCATAAAAATTTCACAAAATGCAACAAGTGCGGCAGTAGCGGCAAGCAGTACACTGGCTGAGCTTTCAATGAAGAGTGGCAGTGATTTAAATAATACTGCAATGGGTGTGTATAGGGTTTTTAGAAAATATGTACATACATTAAAAATATATATACATATATTTTGAGCTATAATTAAACTCTCTATTTGCTATTTTTAAGTACACGTCGCTGCGCCATCCGTCACTCTTCTACCTTGGCAACAACAACTGCCTGCGGATGCGAAGACGCCAATCAGTATGCCAGCACATACCACCACCGCAATGCTTCCGCGAATAACTACCACCAGCAACAGCACACACGCGCAAACACATTTACCAAACAACGCTGCAACTTTCGTGCACCATGCTTCACCGGCTGTGGTGGCAGAAAACTCATTGCCATTACCACAAAAGCTTACGCCAATAGTGCAGCCAGCAGCGCTTACCGCTTCTACTACTGGAAATGTTAGCGCGCTGCAATCAGGCGTTTACAAACCAAAATATTATCAACACCCTTTAGTGTCTGGCACAATACCACCTACTTTGGTGGCGACGAGTGAAGAGCATCAAAAGCGCCTGCTTCAAAAGAAGCCCACAGCATCCATACTTTCGAATAGTTCAACACAACAACAGCAACAAAATGGTGGTACTATGATTAATGGTGGCAATGGCACACCACTTGTAAATGGTATGCATAAGGAGCTGCACAGTGGCGGTGGGAATGGTGGTCGCAGTGCTGCTGGTGAGAAGAATAAGGTGAAGTTCTCTGACACGGTGCAGGTCGCTGTGGTGCCGGTAAGTGTGAGGGGGAAACTTAAAAATTAGGAAAATCTTCGAGTTTTAATTTTTCTCACTTTGCAGGAAATTCCACGCAAAGAAAAGCCACAACCGCCCAAACGCAATGGCTACTCACGTCCGTTGTCGCGCAACATCACAAATCCGAAGAAGGAATTGGCTGATAGCCTGCCGTTGTGTCATCCACACGACGAATATTTGAAGGATTTCAATCCCTTGTCAGCAGGTACGTACATGCATACTTACCATGGTATTAGTGCTAAATTTTTTTTAATTACTAGCTGAAGAGATGCCTCGTCCCCAAACGAAATCCTCTAATCGCGACGAAGCCACAAAGTCGCGCAAGTCGAACAGTAGTTCTCAGCCAGCCATCAAAGTGGTTCATTTCGGCGTAGTTTAAGAAATCATAGGTTTCAAAATTCAACTTTGCAGCCGCGGTGCTAGCACATTAACATTGCAATATAAGCTGTGCAAATAAATCTTCGTTTAGAGCTATATAGATTTAAATTCAACATATACATACATACATATGTACGTTTACTTCTGCACGACGAGTGAAGGTATGACTTCTACTGTTCTATTTAAGAACTAAAAAAATAGACACCATCAAGAAAATTCATTGCCGTCCAGTAGTGAAAGCTTTAAATAGTAGATTCCATTTAATATTAAGTTGAATATTGTATTTTTATTCACTTGAAATAATGTAAGTTAACCACAAGAAATAAATGTATGCACACAAGTATGTACGTTTAAATTGTACCCTCTGTGTACAATTAAAAGACAATCGCTTTATTTCTTTTTTGGCCCACCCATGTTGCCAGTTTGCATGCGTCCCAACTCTGCTTTCAGATCGAGCAAATCACGATCAGGCACATAGCGACGTTCCTCCAATTCTTCGGAGTGTTCTTGGACACTTAGCTGCACACCTGCTGGTAGCGCTGCTTGTGCTATGCGCAAAAATACAGGATATATAGGAGCATTTACATCGTTAATTTGCAGATTACGTTCGTAAACAGTCAATTTGTATTCAGCATCTACTATAGCCGAGTTTGGTCGCAGTCTTTGCACTTTGGTTTGTTGTGGTGGCAAAGCGTAGCTGAAAGTAAGTGAACATTTTGGTAATTTATAAGTTTATATATAAAAGATAGATATGTGCATACACACCAATCGGATACATCGATATCCAGGTATTCCGCAATGCTATGCAAGTAGCGCTGGTAGCTTTCAAGAATTGGAAAATCATAACCTTTAATTTGTACGTTAAGACAGGAATATTGTGGGAATTTGGGTTTTAGTGACTGCAAAGACAAAACGAGTTTTAAATGTATAGATTTTCGGTTAGGAATTGTGCTGTTAGATAATTGCAATCACCTCCAAATAATCCGGCTCATATACACTACGTCCATCGCTGTAGTGGCGGGTTGTGGCTGTAGCTATATTCAATGTGGCAGGTGCAGTACTGGATAGCAGACGCGGCACAAGCGGACGTAGCTATGAAGCAAATATGTTTAATTCCTATATATTACATAAAGAAAATTAAAATTTACCTTCGTTAACATTTTCGTCTTGTTTTGCTTGCAATTTTCTCGAAGTAAGAGGTTATGTCATAAAAAATATGACCCTTTATACTCTCTTTCCACAGAAAACAGCTGTTGGTTTGTTTACATTCAATAAAGGGAAAATTATATGAAAAGGGGTTTTTTGATTGGTCTTTTGTTATTACAGAAATATTTGAAAAAATAATGAAAAAGCCATCGAGCTGTATTATACTAAGGTATTGCAGAGCTTTTAGGTCAAATTTTCATATATGTACAAAAATAAAGTACACAAAATTGTGGTTGTTTTTAATCCACGAGGCTTACACCCGATTTACATGTTTCAAGTACTTGAAAGCAATTCTTGCTCATTCTCTTTTGCGTTTTCTATTTGCTTTTACACGTTTCAATTCTGTTGAATTCAAGTTTTTGGTTCTTTAAATGGAAAGTAACGAAAATGCCAAAAGCAAAGCAAGAAAGTTGAAACGACTTGACGGTACAGACGCATGAACGAAAGACACAAGATCACGCGGGAAGGAAAGAACGAAAAAAGTTATTTTCTAGCTGCCGAAATCTCGACGCCATCTTTGTTGTAAGAAGTAAACAACGAAGAGAACGGAGAAATCCGCGAAATTGTTGAACGCATGAAAAATCATTTTTATTATGCAAATTCTTCTATAAATCATGCCGTTGTGTTAAATTATTCTTTATCTTATGTGTACACACGTTGCCACAGGCGAAAATAAAGAAAATTGCAGTAAAAAGCCACCACCAAATTGTAAACAACGAAGAAATGTAAACAAACGGCTAATGTCAAAATCGTTCAACTTTTTCCTAAATGCGATTCTAACGGGCTAGTCTCCTGCCCGCGTGATCTTGTCCTTTTGGTTCATGGTACAGACGCATGTGTACTCGTGTCTTTTCTTCTCACCCCCTCTCTTCCACAAGCGAGCAGAATTGAATTCAATACTTGAACTGTGTAAAAGCAGTCTTAGTTTTTCTCGGTGTATCTTTTTTGTTTTGCTCTCTATCCAGACATTTTACACGCACTCACATACAAATTTCTGACAATTGACAAATGTACGATCGAGAACTGTCAGAATCTTGAATTTCTTTCGTTTTGTGTTCATCCTATTTGCTGAGTCCGCTTGTTGACGTCGATTTTCCGAGAAAATTTGCTGGTTACCAGAACGAATTCCAATTAATAAAGAAAATATTCAGTTATTACTTTCTATACAGTGTGTTTGGAAAACTTGCAGCTCTGGTGAAAATAAATAACGCAATGTTGGGGAGGAAATTGCTGTTGGTGTTGAAGGCGGTGCTGTTGGTGTCATTGCTTGCACCAGCGACGCAGGCAAAATCTGATCCTGGCAAAACTACTAAAACACTAACGCCGGTAGGTGTACAAAGATATCCAAGAAAATTCAGAATCATACATTAGTTATAGTTATATACTGCAACATGATATTTGTATATTTCCTTCTACCTACAGAACGCTAATGTGGCAAGAGAACAACGGCCGCTATTAGCTAGTTCCAAAATTAAAGTGCATAGTAAGTGGCAAATTTTAAGAAAAAATGTTGAATCTTTTTATAAATAACCTAATTTTTATAGTCGAGTGCGACACTCATGAGCAGCTGGATGTTGTTGTGACCTGGACGCTCTTTGAGCGCCAATGCTGGTATGACAAGCGCTTGGTGAGTATGCGGTACCAAAAAGAATTGGACATACACATATATATATATATGTATACATTATATATAAATATATATATATATATCTACTTTAGGATATTGATATAACCAAAAATCCTCTATTGATATTTACAGCCCGAAAGTCTATACAATGCTTATGAAGAGCAATTGCTTTTGCAAAACAAATCTGATTCTGGTTTCATTGCCATGGATACGAAAAACTCCATTTGTCCAATGCACCCAATTTTGCTACCCGAAAGGCCATGGCCTGTAGGCGATGCAAATGTTGCAGCAGCGTCAGGAGTAGCGGAAGACGCTGCAAAGTCATCAGGCACGTCAGCAGCACAGACGTCGGGCAAGACGCAGACGAATACACTCAAACACCCAACAGCGGTAAATTTGAATATGTAGAATTAATTTAGTTTCAATTTATTTTAGTATGTTTTTATCAACAATGTATGTAGAACACATAAAACTCTTTTGTAGCTGATAAGATCTTGTTTTGAGCGAGTGATATCTAAAAATTGGCTTGTGTTATATGTATATAGTGCATTGTATTCGACTCTTAATGAAAGGGGTGAATACGTAAAAATTAATGTATGTACTTACCCGCATATTAGGTGCGCCATTTGTGAGTCATATTATAAACTTCGCGATAAAAATTCGGTAATAAGAAGTGGAAGGGAGAATGCTGATAAGAAATGCCTTTTGTTTAAATTTAATTAAGTGTTAGGATTATTGTTAAACTGGCAAATGCAAAATTACTTAATATGTTGCGTTTGAATGTCATGTGGCCCATAGTGAACTTTCTTAACTTCTCTAACTACTTCTTTTTCGCGTATGTTTTTTAAAAAATTTACACCCTCAATTGTTTGCTAATAATCATAGCTTCTTTCAATTTAACAAGCTTAAATGCGCGATGCCAAAGTACTTCAAAACTAGAAAAATCGTTATAGAAATGTTTGAATGTCAATAAAATACAGCTTCTTCTCTGGATGCACTCCTTAAAATTGGAGGAAATCTTTATGTTTGCGGAATTGTCCAGATTTACATGTATATGTAAAAGAACAGAAGACAATTTCGAGAAAAGCACTCAAGAACCGATTTTACTTGTATGCCAATCTCAAACTCTGTTCCTAAAATAATGTTTAATGTTTATTAAAAAACTAAAGACAATTTTAAAGAAATGCACTCAAGATCACATTTTAGTTTTATGCCAATCGCAAACTTTTCTCCATTTGGTTCGCCCAAATTGTTTAATATTTATTAAAAACACTCTTTCTCCTTCTAGCCATATGCAAAAACCATCATCACCATTGGCCGAGATGGCATCTACGATTTGACATTGAAAATTGAGGCAATCAAAGCAACTGACTCCTCAGATTTTAGCGCGCTTGTGCAAGTTGATATTGTTGGTCCCGATGGCGGGTACCTCTCAGCCATTGATCATCCATTGTTGGCGGTAAGCGTTGTCATTTATTACAAATCGTATAAGTTTTTATCTACTTTCTCTCCTTTTCCACATCACCAGTTCTATGGTATTATGTGCGTGGTCTATGTCATTTTCGGCATTATCTGGCTCTTTGTATCGTTTACGCAATGGCGTGATCTCTTGCGTATACAATTTTGGATTGGTGGCGTCATACTGCTTGGCATGTTAGAGAAGGCGTTCTTCTATGCGCAATACTACAGCTTAAATACGACAGGTGTACCTGTGCAGGGCGCCGAATTGGTAGCAGAATTTGTTTCTTGTGCCAAACGTACTTTGGCTCGTATGCTTGTGATTATCATGAGTCTGGGTTTCGGTATTGTCAAGTAAGTATATTAGCACATATGCTGCAGTTGTTATGTAGTTAAAAAAAAACAATCAACAAGCAGTTGTGTAAATAAAATGCATGAACCATTTATTTAAATAAACATATACATACGTACCTACTATATACATAAGTACTGTGCCTTGAGAGGGCAATGACCAGACTAAGAAAAAAAAAACAACATATAAACTGTTTGCAAGCTGTTAATATTCCTCTATGTTCTTATTTTCTTAGACCACGCTTGGGTCCAATGTTGCATCGCGTTGTCGGTGTTGGCGCGCTTTATTTTGTGCTGGCCTGTGTTGAAAGCTATTTGCGCGTGACGAGCACAAAAACCGATGAGCAGCTGGTGGCTGCCATACCGTTGGCTGTGCTGGACACAGGCATCTGCTGGTGGATATTCACTTCGCTGGTACAGACTACCAGAACGTTGCGCTTGAGAAGGTGGGCTAATGTTTCCTAATGAAAATTTACAATATTCAACATGCAAATGAATTTGTAAAATTTTACTCATGTCTCTCATTGATATTTTCTTAAATTAATTTTACAGAAATATGGTCAAACTCTCGCTGTATAGACACTTCACAAACACACTGATATTCGCTGTGATTGCATCAGTGATGTTTATGTTGTATGCCTTGCATGTGCGCAAGACACAAAACTGTACACCGGTGAGTGCATTTGAAATTAGAAGAAAGCGCTTAGAAACGTTATGCATTTCTGGAATTTGTTTTACAGATTTGGCGCAATATTTGGATAGATACTGCCTTCTGGCATGTGCTCTTCTCGGTATTATTGCTGGTGATTATGATTTTGTGGCGTCCAACAAATAATAATCAACGTTATGCATTTACACCGTTACTCGATGCGCCAGAAGATGAGGATGACGATGGTAAGTGAATATGTTCTCATAAGAATAGTCGAAATACATATGCTTTCAGCTATCGACTAAACATAAAATATTGAAAGTGATCAACTAGTGAAGTTAGTCGCACAATAAAAGCAAAAATAATGAGATTATCTCGCCATACCCATACCATTCGAACCATTGATAACACTATTCAGGTCTAGCACTTTAGCTTATGTTCGCCATTTAGAGCTTCAAAGTAGCAGTCTAAAAAAATTATTGTTCGTTTTAGCTTAAGACTAATGCTTCTAGAAACTAATATATACCCCCCACACCGTTTAAGGTTAAGTTTTTCTTAAATATAAAAATGTTTCGAAAAAAAAATTGATTTAAATGAACGAAAAATGGATTAGAAAATTTAAAAAAATTATCAATCCCAATGCGGGCGATTCCAAGTTACGTTACCGGATTGATTTGTAGCACCACAAAGGGACAAAGGGCCCACGATTGTCGGGTCCACGTAACTAGAACGACCCATACTCATATCTGGCCAATGACTGTGGATCACTCCAGGACCATTCCCCAAAAGCTCTCTGTGGAATTTGTATGCTGTTACAACAACGACAAATGACCATCACCTCCCAAGGGCTGTTGTTTTGGCGACGTTAACGCGTTTAGATCGACGAAACTCGTCACTAGTTTTTCGTCTATGGAGCAACGCCTTATAGCCGGACTGCTCCGCGTCCTTCCCCGGGCGGACGTTGAGCCCAACC